CCCAGCCCAGCCCCATCCCCCTGCCAGCCAAAACCTGCCTCATCCCCCACCCTCCCAGCCAGTCAGCCCACCCCTGCACCACTCCCACCCCCTGCAGCCACACCGTGCCCGGTTCCCTCCCCCCAAGGCAGCCAGCTCCCCACCAGCTCCAATCCAGCAATAATCTCACTTGGCTCCTTTCCACAGTGGCCTCCAAACCGTCTTTATTGGGAATTCCTTTGGGGGCAGAGGGACTGGGGGGGGGCAGTATCTCGGGTCCATCCGCGTCCCACAACCATGGGAGTTGCCAGATGAGCCGTCATTCAGCCCCCGTCGGCCCCACCGATAGCCTCAGGGGGGGCGTCCTGGTGCCCCTCGTTGTCCTGGGACATGGGGAGCCCGCTTCGGGGGGGCAGAGCCCAACGGACACCCCACTGGCTATCTCTCTCGGCACCTATGAAAGGGAAGAAAGAGGGGGTGCCCAGGGAGTTAACTTGGGGTGTTAACAGGCACCCCAAAATCCAAAGTATGTCAGCCTATCCCCTCATTGTCCCTGACATTCTCCCAGTGGGATGTGCCCCTCGATATATTTTGGGGGGCAAAAGTCACAGGCCTGTTGGGTGTGCCAGGAGACCGAACTCTCCCTCTCGGCACCTATGAAAGGGAAGAAAGAGGGGGTGCCCAGGGAGTTAACTTGGGGTGTTAACAGGCACCCCAAAATCCAAAGTATGTCAGCCTATCCCCTCATTGTCCCTGACATTCTCCCAGTGGGATGTGCCCCTCGATATATTTTGGGGGGCAAAAGTCACAGGCCTGTTGGGTGTGCCAGGAGACCGAACTCTCCTGCAGTTTGGGGTGCATGCAAACAAAACCGGAATCGATCATTTCCAGATTCAGGGGGATTTGAGGAACTGTGATTAATGGCACCTAGCGGGATTGCACAGTGCAAAGAACATGGAGAGGACTTGGGGTGCAAAATTGGCAACCCCAGAGGTCGGGATGCATTTTGGGGTCCAAGAATCAGGGTAAAGAACAATGGGGACCTCAACAAAAATCTGGATGATGTAGGGTAGTTTGAGGGGTCAGCACAAGGGGCTCCCCTAACTTATGGAGAGATTTGGGGGCACAGAATAGAGGCAGACCAAGCCAGTGGGCCCCAGGAAGGCGCTCAAGGATTCTGGGGTACAGATTAAGCTTTAAGGTGCAGGCGAGGGAGAATCTCTCCAAAGGGACGGGAAAAATGAAAGCCCCAAACAGCTGACAGTTGGAGACTGCTGACAGTTGGAGGTGCTGAACCAGGGAGAATCCCAAAGGGGAGAGTTTGGGGAGGCCAAAACCAGTAGCTTTGGGGGCACATATCAGGGGGATCCCCACAAAATCAGGGAGGGCTTGGGTGACACACTGGTGAAATGTAGGGTGCAGACCAAGGGGAAGGCCGAATTAGGAGCACAGAACAGCTCTATTTTGGGATGCAAAGCAACAGGTCCAAATGCAGAGGTGCAGGAAGGATTGGGGTACAGGTCAGATTTGGGGTGCAGAATGGAGGAACCTCCACCTACCCATGGAGGAATGGAGGGTGATTTGGGTGACTACGGGGGCAGCTGCAGAGTAACTGGAAAGATTAGTTCTGGGCACTAGGGACCCCAAACTTTTCACACTCTCAGTGTGGCCCCATAACGCCCCACCCCCCCATCTCAGTTCAGGGGCAGATTGGGCAGTTTGGGGGACAACCTGTAGGGACAGGGAGAATTTTGAGGTGAACTCTGGGTCCAGCCAGTGGGAGCACTCTCTCTCCTTCGGGGGCGCCTGTCCAAAGGGGTGGCCTGTGGATGGACTACAGGTGAAATGAGGGGTCTTGAAAAGGGGGTACCTATTCGGTCTAGAGGGTGCAGCATTAGAGGTTCACTTGTAGGGGAAATGGGGGAATTAGGGGTGATTCGGTGAGGGAATTCAGGGTCAGTGGCGGCATAACCCGGGGACCCCAGGAGTTGGGGTGTAGTAATAAGGCAGCAGGGCAGTTTGGGGGTACAGCAGTAGAGCAGCAGCTGCCTGGGACCAGAGGAGGGGGATTTAGGGGTGCAGGCGTCAGGGTCCTTGGAGGGCAGATGGGGAAGCTTCAGGGTGCAGTTCACGGGCTGGGCCCCCCAGCGAGGAAAGGGGGTGCACTTACCTGGGCCCCCCCGCTGCTGCGGGGGCTTG